CCCTCAGCCAGGGTCAACCCACCACAAAACTGCATTTGGATTAGCATGTCTGGTACAAGAAACCATTGACATACTGAAGTGAGCCAAACTGGGAGCTATCATTCACACATGACAAAGAATTGGATTTGTCAGCTTTAGAAGGAAAAGGGCATAATCCTCCTGTTGTTTTCCATGAGACAGTGCTGAAAACAGACTCTTCTCGGAGGGTCACAGTAACAGAATTAGGCTAGGCATTGCACAAAAGTTGCAGCAAAGGAAATTCCCATCAGATATTAAAAAAAAATGGGAAGAAACAAACACTGGAATAGGGGAACAGAGACACTGTGCAATCTCCACCCTGGAGGTGTTCAAATCAAAGCCTGGAGCAATCTGATCAAACTGGACCTCTTTACAGCAGAGGACTGGACCCAATTATCTCTAGAGGATCCTTCCAAACTAAATTCCTCTGTAACTTTGGTAGTGCAACAACCTGTATTAAAAACAAAGATCCAAGGTGTTTCATGGCCATGGACACACACTGCAAACTGGAAAAGTTCCACCAGCTGAACAGAGATTAATGTCCTCCATCCTCTCCTTTTGTTCTTGCTGCGCTGCTTTGCCATGATCTGATCAGAACAGATTTTCATAGCCTGCTTGAGGCAGGCTAAAGTAAATACCTCTTGGGTGATAATAAGTAGCTGGCAACAGGGTAGAGAGTAAAATCTTCAACCTAGCCGTTAGATCCACAAAAGGACATAGGCTATGGCTTTACCATTTGTCAGACTACAGATCCATATGTTGTGGGTATACGCTTCCCAGGTGCGCTGCTGAAGAGGGAAGAGAGGTTACTTCATAAATCAACACCAGGCTGCAGCCTCTGAAAGAGACCTCAAGTCTCAGCTTGACCAAAGCTTAAAGAAAACATGAAAGCTGCATGTCAGACTTGTGCAATAATAAAATTGAACACACTATCAGATGGCTAAAATTAGTCATCATTAACTTTGAAGATAGAAACTGAAATCATCACAACAATCAACTTGACCACCTCATAGAACTAAGTAACTAAGAACTGAAGCAAACTTGTATGGTATCAGGCCCAAAGGGATAGGATTCATCTCACACCTTGGCCAACGGAAAATGAAATACTGCCACCAGTTAGGATTCCCCCCCCCTTTTTTTTTTTTTTTTAAGTGAAAAAGGCACACATATTGGGTTTAACTGTTCTCAGAAGTTGTCTAACCCTCTTCACTTACTAGAAAAGCTCATAGCGAAGTTGTTATGGTCAGGTGGTATCAGTCACACCTAGAATGACTATTTTAAAAAACTATTCAAATTAGAAAATAAATGAAATATGCATATGTCACTGTGACTCCTTTTCACTACATTCTTCAATCTCATAATCCTTTGGTGGCATTCTGATCTTCTAACTCCCAGGAAGAATCTCAGACTACTTATCTACTCAGGAAACACAACAGGAGAGAAAAGAGACAGCAATCAATGAAGAAAAATAATCAACTTTTTATTAGCACTTCAACAATTACCTGGTGTTCAATGGTAAAGCACAGTTTTAAAGATAACACTGGTACCTCTGATCAAACATAACTGTATGGGGTTTTTTTCAAATACAAAGGGGAAAAAAAAATTGTTCCACCCCCCCTTGTGGTTTTTTTAAGAAAAGCTAAGTCTTATATTAGCTACTTATAAGCAGAGACATGTTGCATACCGCAGTTAGATACTTAAAGTTTGACAAGACAACAATTAATACTTCAGGATTTTAAATCCCTTCAAATCCCCATTTTGCTTCATTGGGAGCGAGAAAGAGAGAGGATTATTTTCTTGTCTTTCCCCTTCTCCCATTTCGTTCCTATTTTTTGCAGGCCTAAAAGGAAAGTTCAATACAATGAAATCAAGAGGCCATACATGCTACATTGAAATATAGCTGCCACAATGATTTAAATTAAAATTTAACTACAAGTCTTTTCCTGCAGTGTACAACATATTAATGCTTACATGATAATTATTTCAATTATATAAAAGAGATTTGCAAAAAGGGTAGCTTCTATCATACATTGTTACATTTCTTAATGTATTACCTGTTCAACGTTTGTGTTTTAAGTGATCTCCACATAAAAACAGAGGTAGCTAAGTAGATATGCTCTATTTTATGAGGTCTCTATACACGGTGTAATAAAAAAGTTTGTTCTATCAATCAAGATGGATTAATTTAAAGACTTACTTCATAATAGTTTGTCTTCCCCAGATATGAATGCTTTCTAACTCAAGTACAGCTATTTCTATTTAGCCTTCGTCACCATGGACAGTTGCCACATCATTACAGAAACATAAGTTCATTTTATTAGGCAAATATTTGAGTTCCACTCAAGTACACTTAACATAATAAAAACAAACCAGAAATCTATGTCATAATTTAATTTAATTCTTGCTGAACTTACTATGGGAATTTAACAGTGCTTTTAATTACATTAGGGAGAAGTCAAAAAAATCAAAACACTGGATTTTAAGTTTGGTGTTTCTGTGCTGTCCAAACAATAGCTTATTTATTTAGAAAAATTCTAATAAACTCCAGCATCTTAAATATGTTGAAAAGTGCCTTTTCCAGCATCACGAAAATGTTAATTAAGAAAGCATCACTAAATTTTGAAGTAGCAAATACAGTTAAAAGTCTAAGTGAACATAAACCGGAACACTGTGGTCCAAATTCTGTGAACAGATCAGGTATGCAAGATGTTCTGCCTGTGCAAAACTGGACCGTATTTTTTCTCAGAAACTTAAAAAGGCAACAACTGAAAAAGATGGAGAATTTAGCACCTGCTTAAAATAGTTAAGCAGTGCAAGTAAGTGTACATTTCCTTGTCAGGCATGAAGATCATTTGGTAGGTCCCTGAAATCCTGTGTTTTGTTTTACATACTGTAAGTGGGCACTACAAAAAAGTGGAAATGTATTTTAAAGAAAAGTAACTTTCGTAAAATGTTTCTGATTCACAGCATCTATACAATCCACAAAAGAAACAGCTCAATTTTTCTATAGAGATTTATCAGCATATTATGTTTATAATCTCAAATCATGTAAGTAACTATTTGCATCTGCTTGCATTTGTTTGTAATTTTGGTATCAGTTTTGATGAAATAACTAGTTGTTTTGTCCACACTGGCCAAAGACCAGCTTTGATAAGACAGAATGCAATTTTGGCACAGTATTTTTTAGTGAATTTCCATAACAGAAGTACAAACAGTTAGGAGGAAGAAACCAATAACTACTTAAAGATGACCACAAGTTATTAGTTCCTGTTTCTAACAGCTCAATACTAACCTTAAAAAGCACATTTTCATTCTTTATGCATTGCCTCATGGGAGATTTAGTTTCAAGTGCTAATGTGTCCATTCTTTCATAAAAGTCTACATTCCCTGACTGAACTATATCTCCTAGGAGTCAATGCAGTCTTCTCCAAATGCTGGCTGCATTATTACAGTAAGAGACTTCTTCTAACTCTTGTCTTCCATGACCTCTGTGACAAAACCATAGTTCCAATCATGAGTATTTAGCTTTGATATGATTCCCTGACTTTGGCCTGCAGGGCATCACAAGTCTTCTTAGCATCTCCCAACAACATGGCAGTGTTGGGTTTGTAGAAGATTGGGTTGTCCACCGCTGCATAACCGACTCCCAAAGATCTCTTCATTACAATGACCTGCACGTAAAAAGTTCATGTTTAAAAGAGCAAAAACTAACCACAATCTCCCCTCAAGCAAAGACAACACATAACCAACCTCCATAAATGAAGGGAGAGCAAGAGAAATCCCTGGCCAAAATATGGTGCTCACTGCTACAAAACTGTATTTCAAATTTTAATATAGCACACAAATTGATATCTGGACCAGTTTCAGAAACATTTTATTGTTAAACACAATATTACATGTCAGATGAAGAGACTGTGGACACTACACATGCATATGCTTTTACTTTATTCCATGTAATAAACTCAAAGCAAGATGGGCACTGATGATTATAACGTAAAAGGTTTTTGAGGCTTTTTTATTTTTGAACTATTTTAAGAACCCAATTCCCTGACGGTAACACAATTCAGATGAGAGTTCACATCAATACTTGGTGCAACACTCTCTGGTATTTCTCCAGACTATTACTCTGTATTACTTCATACATGGGATTTTTTAAAAAAAAAAATCCAAAAATAAATTTCAGCCAGCTTTTGCTATTAAATGCCAAATTAGTTAACCATGGCACCTTCAGCAGAGAAAATGCAAAGCTTTTCCAACTTTAACCATGTACATGTTTATTTCTCAAATTGCAACACAAACCACTGATAAATGTATGTGCCTATGAGTATTTGAATGGTTAACCCACAGAAGAACTGAGGCTACGATTGGGTTTGCAACAAGAGATCAAAGATGTCACACCAAGGAAACTCAAGTATATGTACTTTAGATCAGATGATGTTGCTCTCAAAGAGCAAAACTGGTGAGGTAATTAAACTGCCAGTTCAATCTGGGTAGACTAAGCTTTCTTGTCAACCCAGCCACTCACTGTTTTGGGGGTGAGGGAGGTTTGGGTTTTTGTTCTTGTTGTAGTTTATTTTATTTAAGTGTATTATTCATTTTTGTACTTCCTCCTCAATAATGAAGTTGTCAATCAAATTTCCTATAAACTTAAAATAGCAGATATTTGTACAGAACTGTTTCAGGGCTGCAGATGTGAACAGAACATCGTTTATTCTAATAACAGTTTTTAGTAGAAGCACTTTCTACTGCAGTCTTTTCTACTGCAGTGATCATTAGTCTCACAATCATCAGCAAATACTTTAGTGAGATCATGAGCAGCGCATCATAGTTGCAAAATACTGTTTTGTTGGACACTTTGCAGAAAAGCTTCTCATGGAAATCCGAAGAGTAGGAGAATCTTGTTAGTTTACCCCATAAACCATGTTTTTAAAAGCATACTACATAAGGTAGGTGCTAATGCAACTCCATCTCACCTGTTTGGACTTCCAGACCTCAAGAACTGGCATTCCAGCTATAATAGAGTTTGGATCTTCCTGAGCTGCTGAATTAACTGTATCATTTGCACCAATTACAAGGACCAAGTCAGTTTCTGCAGCAAGACAAAGAAAATCGATGAAAAATTATCTGAAACCGTAACACTAAGACCGATGTACATTTTTGTGTTAAATCTGATCTTTAGTGGCATACCCTTATGGTAAGCACTCTACAAACATTTATGGGGATTTAATTTACAAATAATTTACAAACTTATCAGGCACATTAATGTGCCTGACATTCCAAGTGTGCTAACAACTAACTCCAGCAAATTGCAATCATCCACAACTCTACTCCGAGGGACTCGTTAGACTACTCTGCCACACAAAAGTTAAATCCTTTAATATTTAAATATGTTCTCATACACACATAGTATCATCACTTTCAAATTTCTTTGTGCCCAGCTTTTCCTTTGAATATTCTTTTGAAAAACCTTTTACCAGCAACTTTCTTATTTTTAAATACCAATGTAAGAAAGCAAGAAGTTGTCTGTACAACGCTATACTGGTTTGCAAGACATGACAGGGTCAAGTCATCCATAACACGTGACCTAAAAAAGTAATAGTAGTTTTCCTGCATGGAACAGTAACAGTGATAAAAAAAAAAGACACAGCATCTGTCATTTATTTTACAGCTACAAGCAATTACAAAAACCCCACAAAACTGTTGCTTTTGAGCTGGAGGAAACAAGTTTTGCAGGCCTGGTTAACCTCCATTCCAGATCTACTCTTTTCTGTACTCCTGCATTCAATATTTCCCTTTGCTTTACCTGTCTGTACTCTCTGCTTCTCAATTTTCTGCTTCTGAGTCAGGTTATTTCTTGTATTCCTCTGTGCTCACTTGCAATCAGCTGGGCGAGCACTTAGATTGCAAGAGAAAGACCTCTGCTCCTCTACAGTGGTATCACAACAGGCACAAAGAGAAACTGAACGGCCTGAGATTTTCCATTTTTAAAATCCTTGTGTGATGTAAAAACAGAATCAAATAAAAATTGACAAGATCAAATCCAATCTACTGGAAACTTATAGCTCGCATGCTAACCTGGGAAGTCTTCATTGATCTCATCCATTTCCAGTACAATATCATAGGGAACACCAGCTTCTGCCAGGAGTACATTGAGCTGACCAGGCATACGACCAGCCACAGGGTGAATACCAAACCTAACAGGAAAGAAAGTCCAACCCCGTTAATAAGTACTGACCGCTATGTTTTATACAGTAAAATTGCCACCTGTGACCTACAAGGCTGAGAAGTTCTCAAGTATAAGCACATGTGAATTAATAAAAATAAATGTTTAAATCTTAATAATATCATAATTACTTTTTCCCTGTCGCAGGGAACTGAGTAGGTGGGAAAGGGAACAAGACCTGTAGATTTGACTCTTCACCTGGACAGCAGCTGTTCCTTTTCTGCAGACAGAAGTCTGACACAACAGGTATGCAAAAGAATATGCTCATTTCCCAGTAAAACTAAAATAACTAGGAGTACATTTTCAGTCCTTCCATTAGAAAGTTGTTGCACCTGCAAAGTGGCTTTGGAGAGCCTGCTGGACACTTCTAGAGACAATACAGAAGGAACTCATTGCCAGAAATACCCAGGAACACACCACTGCAAGATGGACCAACAGAGTAAATTTTCCATCCAGCAATAGCTTATACAAGTTTTTCTTCCATTACTTTTGAAAGTAATAGGACTATTTTACCATTCTGTCAGGCTACAATCAGCAGCCTGAGCCACATCTCACACAGCAAGCATTCGCATCCATCTTCCAAGCAGTACCATACTTAAAATCTTGTGACAGATACCCTTGCTTTTTTATGAATAAGCCTTTTTGCTGCAAAACCACCACTCACATTAATGTGCTTTGCATGTGCCTTGTACCATTGATAAGTGAAAGCATCACAGAATAAATAAACCGGCAGCAACATTCTTCATGAAAAGCCTAAAAGACTGTGCAGCCTTCCTGAAGCAAAACCACTCCTAGACCTAGAAATGCCCTTGACAAATGACCTTATTGACTCAGGTATCTCTAGAGTATGCATGGTTATCATAGTCTAACAGATCAACAGAAAAATTAGCAGAAACTCTACTTCAAGCACAAGACAATGCTTTGCTGAATTAGGTTAACATGCCACTTCTCATGCCTGGTCTTAGGAGGAAATAATTAAAAAAAGGACAGGGAGTAAGACGGTGGAGAGCTAAGAAACTATACTAGTTTAAGCATAACAATTTAAGAAATGTTTTCAGAACAGCTCAAAACAACTTAGAGAAAACACACTGCTTCTGAATTACTGAAAATTCAGACAGACACAGAGGGTGGCGGTGGAAGTGTTAAAGCATGCACAGAGTTCTGTAGTAAAAACCTGACAAAATTCAGAATGGAGATGTTCAACTGGTTTAGCTGCAATTCCCAAAGACATATTTTGGTTAGAAGCAAATCTATTTCTTGTGGGCAGATTGTACTCTTCTGCTCATCTACTGGCCCTGAATAAACTAGGCAGGTCAATGTTTACTGTCCTGTGCATTTTCTCCACCTCTGGAGCTATCACCAAATATAATCCTGACTCAAGCACAACAGAAATACCTCAGATGAATGTTGTATATAGGTGAAGTTAAATGTTTAATAAGGAGGTCTATATATACTTTGGAAGAGGCAGAAAATACCCAAGAGAAAACTGTAAATTCTTGGATTTCTGAACAGAAATTTCTGAGCAGAAAGGACTTCAGACTTCTTCAGAAAGAAGACTGATAAATCAACTTGCCATGACAAAGGGATTGTCACATATTTCTTTTTTCGACTCTGCTGCAATGAAAGTGGGTAACACATCACTGATAGTTCACAAGTCACAACTCAATCAACACAGATCACTTGTGAATTTAACACTGTACAAATACATCCTTAGAAGGGCAACTGAGCACTCCATTGGCAAGACAACATTAAGACAATGCAAAGATGAGACAACTGGAACTCCAGAAACAAAATTAAGGGCATGTGACTATTCCACGTAATAGGAGATATACCACAATTTTAAGCTCTAGGTCAAATAGCAGGATAAAAGCTAGTTTTAAAAGGAGTGCTTTTAAAGAAACAGAATAGATTGTATTCAGCTAGTAAACATTTGGGATCCTGTTGCAAAGGATAATACCTAAATAAGAAAAAGGAGAGCAAATATACAGCACAAAACTTTTAACAGTTTGTGTTTCACACCACTCACTAATATAAGCCATGTGTAGTACTGCAGCTAGTCCTGAAGTGTACCAAATTCAATCACAGTACAGTAGAAGAACTCTTATTCTGAAGTACACTTGAGAAAACCCATCACTCCTCTGGCAGTGAAAATAGCTTTTCCAACAAAATTCTCTCTTGTTTCTAATAAAGTTATTTGAGTGTCTTTGTGACCAAAGCTGTTCTGGCAATACACAAAACAAAATACTTGTGAGGTTTCTATTAAATACTATATACACGTACAATCTTATTTCAAGGGCTGGAAAGCCAAAATTTAAGCTGCCAAGAGAAGGCATTTCACCTTTGACTTCACTATTCCTGGCAAGTGGCAAAGAAGAGAAGAAAGGGACAAACTGTCTTCATTCAGGAAGAGTTATGGCGTCAACCATCAGTAGTTACAGACTTCTGACAGGCTCTGCTTGAAACCACATACTCACATATTCACAAAGTTTGAGAAAGCTGCTCATATAAAAGCTTTTTGGACAAGTATTGAAGTGACTCCCAGAAGTCTGCTTCTAAGAGCCTGTTAACCAAATATGACAGCACCTCTTGAAACTGGATGTGCAAGTGTGTCAACAAGAATCATTAAAAATATGTGCCTCTATAAGGCTTTCATTATTTGACAAGACAAGATCTACATGTGTCTGGAGTGAAATTAGTCTGTCAAATTGAGAGCGGAATTCAGGTAAGCATGGAAAAGAGATAGCTAAAATCCTTGATGGCTCACAACATGTCTAATAGAAGCTGTGTCTCTTGCTCCTGACTCACAACAGCAGCAGTTCTTCAAATCTATGTGCATTACGGTAGAAACTTTTTGTCACATATGCTCTCCCATATGTTCAAAATATGAACCTCATTCATATTCAAAACCTCAAAACACGAATGATTTTAAGAGAGAGGCATATTTTATGGTAAAAAAATGTTAAAGTAAAAAAAATTGCTAAGTTTCTTTGATATGCTTTTAATATCAGTTATGCAAGAACTCCCTTCGGTTGGTTGATTTGTTTTTAAATCAAGCAGAAATCTCACACTTTTTTGACTTTATGTTTACATGACGTCAAGTTTTCACTCTACATCTACTTTACCTGTAAAAAAGATTCACAATCATGCTGTGTCTGACTTGAAACATTATTCACTGTAGTTCATTGAAACACAGAATTCACCAGGAATTTTTTCCTCTTGACCCTGACCATATAACATGGGGTTTGCCTATCACCTCCAATTGTCAGATACTGAAGCGAGCACACACCTCCTTGTGACTAAGACTTCACACCTAAACAGCATTAGTACCAGGCAAGGATACTCAGCCTCTTTAATCAGCCTCTTTCGGATATGTTTTAGCTTTAGAAAGACAACACAGCATACTGAAAAATTAGTTCATATTTTGAACCTTTTCTTGTAACACAGAATGCAACATTTTCTTTTAAATTTAGATTAAAAATCTAAAACTCTCAACATACATGCCATATCTAGGACAGCACTTGCAGCACAGAAAGCACTTAAAGTGGGGGGAGGCGAGAAGGAGAGGAAGTTACTTGAAGTAGTAAAGTAGTATGAAGTTAATTATAGTTGTATGAAAAAGACAGCTATTGCTTGAAAAATGACTGAAAAATCTCAGAATGGAAATTACTTTTTACAGTTCATAAAGTCAGCATCTATCTTTATCACAACTGGCTTGATAACATTCTTGCAATCAATACTGAAAGAGATAGCACCTACCTAACCCCATGCAGAAGTGTTTCAAGATCACTTCATCATGTAAAGATAGGATTCCTGTTATTATGCCAAAGCTGGACTGAGTGATGTAAGTAAGTAACATCTGGCTGGTGCCTAATTTAGCTTACTCAACACTTTAGACACTATATGCATAGAATAATTTGCTCAAGGGTTTTGCCTCACCTCCTCTTCCCCACACCCCGCTCACTTTGTGTTTTGACACCTCTCTGTTTCCAGTACAGACAATAGTCTGTTATTCAAGGTAACAGGAGGAAAAAATTCCCCAAACAACAAAACACCAAAACCTAGATGAACTGAGAAGTGCATCATTCAGATATTCCACAGCTTGAATCCTGATATATAACAACAGTTGCAGTGCAGCATGACTTGCAAGTATCACAGTATAATGCTCTCAGCACACGTTACAGATGACTACGTAGATTACTAGCATCAAAGCACATAGCTAGCTTAGGCCTGGTGTCATGTCTGACACAACAACATGTCCCCAGAAACACTACTTCAGCGTGGACTAAGCTCTGTGGCTCTGCTGTGGTCAGGTCAGTTAAATTTAAACTGAATTAAATTAATTAAATTAAGCATACTTAAGTGAGGGTTGGTTTGTAATAGCTCCCTATTTCCAGCCACTACTTTGTCACAGCAGGGGCAAGATCCAAATATATGGCATGGACTGTAGCTCAATGCAATAACCATCCCAAGAACCCAACTGCAGGGAAGAAACAAGAGCCTGCCTCCACAAATCATCACAAACTGACACAGTAAGGTCACCCGGAGCTGAGCTGACCCATATGGAACCAATGACAGACCTACAGACACCCCCAGGAGCATACAGCTATAGCTGCATCCTTGCAGAAGTGGATCAGGTACAGCAAGGTTTGCTAGCTTTTAAGCTAACAGATCTGTTGGACTCCATTTGTCCCTTCATCTGCAGCACTAATAATTCAAAACCCACACAGTTAATTTGACTGTAAGAAACAAACTGAGAACTGACATATACGTACACACTTAGTGTCTTCCTAGTAAGCATACTTCAACTTGGTTCAACACATGTTGTTCTCATGCTGCCATTCAGCAGG